GCTGATTTCATGGAGTCAATGCTCTCTCATTTGTACATGCTGCCAAGTTCTAAAACTAAAATAATACAACCCAGTATAATTTGCAAACAGTGTTGGAACTGGTATATTTTCTGACTGAAAACATTAGGTGTTGGTACTGGAAGGAAAAGAGAGACAGTTTTATAAATATTAATATTCCAAATAGGGTCCCCCAAATGGCTCAAAACTGTAGAAATACTAACATAGGGTTTTAAAAGCAACTAATTTGCTTAAGCCAGTAGCATCCCCCCCCCCAAAAAGGGGGGATCAGATAGACTAAAATGCCCATGTACAGAATGTACTTTTACTGTCTTGATGAAGGCTGGGAGGAAAACATTGAGTCTCCCAAGCAAGGGCATTCCTGCACTCAGGTGTAACACTGGTCGTCTTTGTAACTGGAATATAAACCGTGATGGAAGTTACGGGAAAGTTGATAACCACTATTCACAAAGATCTAATCAAACAATTATAGCTAAACTGGCAAATGTATAGCTTGCTGCCTAATTATTCTGCTACTTCTGAATTATCCCAGGTCTGGCTAAAGCAGCAAAAATGTCTTTAGTAATTATGCCCTTTATGATTCTTTGCTTGTTTCCAATATTCAAATGACACAGAGTGTTCATAATCTACTAGAGCATTGAGCAGTGCTAGGCTTTAACTTGCTAATAATTATCCCCACATTCCAGTATTGTAATCCTTTGTGGGCTGTTACCAATGGCTTTTTTGTGGCACAGAACTGAAAATCCCTAAACCTCAATAAATGTCATTTATCCCAACTGGGACCAAACCACCATTGTGAAAGATTAAAGCTTTCAGGATTCCGGTATAAATGATTTGGGGGAATGAAATGGCTGATGAAGACCTCAAGAAGTGACCAGTCAGAGCTGGCCCTGCTAGGCAACTCAATTGCAACACAACAGGCAACATGACCGACAAACGAGTGATGGCCACGCCCTTGGTTCTGTCTTTGTTTGGGGGTAAATAGAAGTGTGATGTTGAGTGGTTGTAGTGTTTTTCTGGCTCCTTTATCACCCAGTCCACCCAGTTTCAAAGTCCTGTGATTGTGACTTTGAAAGAAATTAACATTGTAACTTTTGACTGATCTCATTCCACCTTCCTCCCTTTAAGCTTGCCTGTCTTTGAAAATCCAAGTTCCTTAGAAAGGTGGACATAATGAAAATGCATGCTACCTTCCTCCCAATTTTTGCATGTTGCTTTCTGATTATGTTGGCAATTTGGGGATGGGGTAGGACAGCATTCTCTAAGCTGATGCTCTCCACAATTCCAAACATAATTAGGAATAGTGGTTGGGGTCCATGGGAGTTGGAGCCCTAATATATCTAGAGGATGCCATCTTGGGGAAGCCTGAAATAGTGGTAGGGAGTGGGTGGCTCATATATAGAAACTAAAGGAGGGTTCAATGCCAAATCAAGGTGTTTTTATGAATGTTGCTGGCTGTATTACTTCACTGGCGTAATACGTAGAGTTACTGCACTGATTCAGCTACAGAAATTGTATTAATGCATGAAAGACAGCTGATACGAATCAGTTTGAGCTTTTGTTTCTTCTAAAACGCAAAGAACAGCATTTTCTGTAGCCAGTAGTGGAGAAATCCTTGTTGGATTACAGTTTGCATTTGCTAGATCAAACTAAAGGATCTGATCAGTAGTGCTAAGTGCAGTAAAACTCTCACAGATGGGTTCTCCCCCTCTCATTCTTCATTGCTTCACTTCTACCAATTAGGTACTAATCTATTGATACCTTCTAATTCCTTTGGCCTCTTGTTCCTCCAGCTGAGCGTGAGAACAGTTTTACTGAGCAATCTAGGCTTTGGGACACAGAGTGTGCAAGTTTTGCAACTGAACATTAAGGCATTCCTTTTTAAAAAGAAAATGTTTCATATCTTCTTATTCAATAGTAGTTATAGTTTCACTCTTGTTTCTTAGATGGGAGAAGCAAGAGAAACCAATGAAATGGTCAATGGAGCAGCAGACCAGAGGACAAGTTCCAAAGAGACAAGTCCAGTTCCTTCACCAACAACCGATCGCAAAGCCAAGACTAGCCTCCAGGCTCAAACTGCTGCCACTCTCCCAGCCAAAACACAAGAAATACCTTCTGCCCAGATGGAGGGCTTCTTAAATCGTAAGCATGAATGGGAATCACACAGCAAGAAGGCCTCAAACAGGTATTGTATTGCAATCAACAGGGAAAGTTTAAACATCTTGGATTTGATTTTGACCAGCCCTCTCAAATCTGGTGCCCTCCATATGGGAGTATATATGTAGGTAGGTTACTTGGCCCTGCAATTGTGTGGTGGAAGAGTTGAGCACCACACACTCATACACAGACACACTCCACATGCATGCACACATTCCTTTCCCATAAGGCTTCCCTCTCTCTCCCAGGAATCCTGCCCCAAATCTGCCATTCCACTTTTAATGGCAAGAAAGTATTTGTAGTCTTCTTCCCAGGGATCCTGTTAAAGATCACTATTTTTCTGCTACCACAAGCTTCGTGGAAAACCAGCATTTCCCAGATGCAAAGTTGATAACTGACTAGCTAAGCAGGTGGAAGAATCAACAGGTACAGTACTTCAGAGATGACAGCATTGAGCACTTGCTTTCCATATCTTAGATGCCAACTTCAATCCCTGGCTTCTGCAATTAAAAAGAGATCAAGCAGCAAATCTGAAGTAGACCACTGCCAGTCATAATTGCTAAATCCAGTATAACTGATGCCCAATTTTTGTTGGACCAAGGGTTGTACCTTGCATATTTCAGGCTGCGCTGTAAAAGGAGATGGCTACATAAAAGATTAGGCGGAAGAGACAAAAGTGTAGTTAAAGACAAATATTATTACAGTTCAATTGGTTATTTAACTATTAAATTTTAAGATACATGCACATGCTTATAGTGATCCTCATTCTTCATATCTCAGGTTGATTTCCAGGCCTAAAATAAAACAAGACTTTGGTTTATTTATTTATTTAGTATATGGCATCTCATACATGGACTTACATTAAATACGAACATTTAGCCTAAGTTAAAAGCACTTTAAAATATGAATATTAAAAAGATCTAAATTCAGATACCAATGTCTAGGCCATCTAACCATTGAAGCAGAGCCGCACATCAAACTATAGGTCACATTGTGACCAGCTGTAAGCTGAGGGCATATAATGGCCCAATATCTGATTTTTTTTATATAAACAAGACTTTGAGCAAATTTATTAAATAAATATAACATAAACACACACACACACAGAGCCATACACATACACAATATGTCTCATGCAGAGGAGGTATCAGGATGAGGCAAAGAAAGACAGCAATGTGGTAATTTGTCTTGGTGGACAACAAAACTGGGGGAGGGGGTCCAAGGGGCCACACCTGACCTCCAAGTGGGGCTCTCATTTGGTGCCAATATGGTTTATGGTGGCATGTTCCAGCTTGATTTCTGCAGTGCTTAACACTGCTGGTGCCTTCCTCAGAAAGTTATTGAATGTTAAAGGAGGAAGATATGTAGTCCTGGGTTATAATTGCTTTAGATCTGCTGATTATATCCCAGGCAGGAGGGAAGGAAAATATACTTTCCTGATGGCAATAAGCTTATCAGTTTTCAGCCATTTAGCAGATTTTTCAACTGTTTGCTCAGGAGTAGAGCAATGTCATTTCTCATTGTGTGCCCACAATCCCCTCATTTCAGCAATAAGTGTGTATGACTCGGGAAGATCTTCGCTACGTCATCTTTTCTCAATTCTGATAGCAAATAGAGCCTTCAGCTGAAGTTTAGGTCAGAATAAGTAGGCTAAGTATAATTAAGTCTGCTGGAACAGGCAGTCATAACAAATTTTAATACTCATTGTCAACAACATCATCAATTTTCTGCAAATTACACAGAGTTTATTAAAAGGACTGCTATTCCAGTGCAGTCTTGCCTCTCCTCCCCCGGTCACCAAGCAGACTGCATGTTGGCCTTGAATCACAGGTTGTACACTTCCATTGTATATAGGCTGGTGTAGCCCAGTGATTATATATGTATATATCATCTTTCAGATCCCATGCACTGTAATGAAAGAATAGAAAGGTTTCTCTTGCTACTATGCATCCACATTCTAAACATTAACCTGGTTTAACAACTCGTAGATTCTTAGAGTGGAGAAGGACCTTTTCATTGTCCAAGCAGTGTCATCTGAGGCAATTCAGTGACACCAAAATAATGGCATGTGCATAGTAACATCATGCAATTTGCTGTTATTACTTACTTGCATCCTGATGCCAGGTGTGAATACATAAGGTGTGGTATTTGTGTGATATCATATATGTTGCATTATTTAACACACCCACATGCAGATGCTCATACATCCAAAAGAGCCTACTATACTGCCACTCTTTCGGTTTTGAATTATGCTAATGAAGGCATTTTATTGTTTCAAAATCTGTAGCCAACTAGCTGATGTACTGTCTTACCGATAAGTGTTTTATAACTCTGATATACTTTCTTTTAATCACTTCTAGTAGTGATTAGTAGCGATACTTGAATTGAAAATATGAAAGGTTTAATATGATAGATTGTTTTTACTGCACTGTGACATTTATTTGGGTGATCAAAAACACAAGATTCAGTGACTAAATACTGTAAAAGATGTTTTAAAGTTTATGATGTTAAGAGGCATGAGAGTTTCCATTCCAAAAGCGTCCCTTTCCAAAGAGTGTCAAAATATTGGGAAGCTGTAGAATTACTATTTTTTTCAAGCAGTGCTGCCCAGAGTTCCGAGACATGAAGCTATTTTTTCTCTACTAAAAAGCTGTAATGTGTTTATATAATGCTGGAATTATAGAAAGACAAAGGAAGGTTGGGCTTGTTTGTGACAATGGCCTTATGCTTGCCTTGCGGTTTCTTTTGTGTCTCAAGATCCTGGCATAACGTTTACTGTGTTATTAACAACCAAGAGATGGGTTTTTACAAAGATGCAAAGGCAGCTTCCTCAGGCATTCCGTATCACAGTGAGATCCCTGTGAGTCTGAAAGAGGCGGTGTGTGAAGTGGCAGTAGAGTACAAGAAGAAGAAGCACGTATTCAAGTTAAGGTAAAAACATTTGTGTTTATTTCTACGGCAAAAGATTAAGTGGAGCAATAGCTTTCAGCCTACATTCATACATTCAGCCTAAAAAATTTTTATCTTCCAAAGTTTAACTAGTTAAACTGAGTGTTATGACATTCATTGTTCCAGAACAGAGACTCATCATAACTTTATTTGTCCATGGGGACTGCCCCCCCGCCATTATCTGGCCTCATGAAGAGCTTAAAGTTTGAATCTGCTTGATTCGAATATGAATTTATTCTGAATTACAGGTTAACTGATGGCAATGAGTACCTTTTCCAAGCCAAAGATGAGGTAAGTATTCTCCTTTCATTCTTTTTCATTGTTCTAAAATAAGGGTGTTCATCAATGTTTTGTTTTGGTATGCAGGTGTTCTCAAACTCTGGGTTCATTACTCCTAGGGGGGTTGTGACCAAACTTTGGAGGACAGAAAATGTCTTGGGCAAGCCCATACAAATCTGGATTTGGTGGGAATTTAGTCTTGCCCTACCCAGACAAGCCAGCTTCCAGCAATCTGGGATCATTGGCAAACCTCTCAAATTATGCAGCCGTTTTCAAATTTGCAGTCCTACATGCAGAGCCAAATTGCTGCCAGAAATCAGTCCTATTCTGCCTGGACAAGTTTGCCTTCTTCTATTTCCTTCCACCCTGTCTGGTAACCACAGCTAGGGAAGCCTGAACAAGGACAGCACTCATCACATTAGAACCAAGGCCCTTTACAGAACTGAGCAGCCATAAATTGCCCTTGTCCAGGAAAGTGGGCAGGTCATTACCTCTGACCATCCCAAAGCTGTCCCTGAGCCCACATGAAAACGCTACTCTGCGTTAAGTCAAGGGGAGTGCAAGCCAGTAGAGATGACTGCTCTTCCATCTTGACCATCCTGCCTCTGGGCTTTTAGTTCATCCCAGTTGCAAAGATAGCTGTAGCTGGGTTTTCTGTCTAGCGCAGCAGGCTTATCCAGTAATATTTAAGAGGTTGGAACTCACCTGCTTGACATGCCAGAGTCAGAAGCTAGAAAATGGAACATGTGAAAAATTGCACCAGGTGGCTCAAGAAGGGCAGCCTGCTGGAGATTATCCCTGGGCTGGGCCCATAACCAAGTTCACTGCAGTTCCTCTATTAAACAAGCTCCCAGCTTTGAAATTATGAGATGGGCTCTGTACTCAAGCTGGAGGCTACCTCAGAGTGCTGTTAACTCCAGCCTCCTCTCCACCAACAACAGAGGCCTGTATATCCTGTGTGGGAATTGTGAATAGGCTACAGCCATTTAGGTGTAGCACTGAGAGGGAAAGTTGGTTGCTCTGCCAGGCTCCCTTACTCCCTTTGACTTGGCAGAGTAGAGCCCCAGACCAAGCTGTCTTGGCTGCAGCTGAGATCCTGAGATGGGGAACTCTTTCTGAGCCTGAGCTTTGTTCAGCAGAATTAGCTTTTCAGTTTGCATGTTCAGCAGTGCAGAGGGGAGCCATGTGCTGAGCTGGCTTGGAACCAAAGGCAGCGGAGAAAGGAGGCCTTTCAGTAGTGGTTCAGGATGCAAAAGAGGAGAACGGTTAGAAGGTGGAGGCATCATGGTAACTCCAGTGATACAACTCTGCAATAGGGCTACCAGGAACGAAGATGTGTTTGCCATATCTGGATGTACCGAAAAAGGCCAAAGATCTTGTGGGTGCTGGGAAGTAATAAAGCCACTGCTCTGCAAGTTGAGGCTAGATTCCTAGAAAACTTTTAACCTTAACATTTATTTTAAGGAGGAAATGAATACATGGATCCAGGCCATCACGTCTGCCATCTCTTCAGACAAAATTGAGTTGTCCACAAGCACACAGAGCACCCCAGCTACAAACCGGGCCCAGACCTTGCCAGCCAGTGTGACAGTAACCAGTGAGTCTAGTCCTGGCAAACGGGAGAAAGACAAAGAGAAGAGGTTCAGCCTTTTTGGAAAAAAGAAGTGAACTCCTTGCTTATTTGTCCACACTGCACTTCTCTGATTGTTCCAGTGGAATTCCAGCATGCAAGCTCAGAACCAATACATTACTCTCCGTGCCTAATGTTCCTCAACATGATTTAATTTTTTTTATTTATACAGCATTTTTAAAAAAAACACACTCAAAAACTTCTAAAGTTATAAATATCTGAGGTGCATTGGGCAACTGCTGAGTAAGAGAGAACCACATTTTCCTTTTGTTTTTCTTTTTTTAAGTGAAGTTAATATAGATTAGGCCTTAGTACTTAAACTGTTCCTCAATTTTTTGAGGCTGTCTTGAAAAAATAACACCCCCACTATGTGTTATTGTTATGCAAGGCAGCAGGGCTAATAAAGTTCACATGCCCCTTGGAGACAATATGCCGATTTTAGTTTTCCCTTCCATCTGAGACGGTTGCGCTGAGTCTTCACTACTTGATTCTTCCCACTGCGAATCTAATGGTAGTGTATTCTCTTTACCCTAATAGAGTGCAGCTTGGCGTTAACTTACCAACCAAAACTATTTGTATACGGGCATCTGGTTATTATTAACACGATTGTGACGCTTCCTCACCCCACCCCACCCCACCCTGCATCTGGCAATGACAGTTAAGAATGTTGAACCGGAAGGACTTCTCATACTGATAATGGTTTTAAATAATCTGTAATTTTGATTTTTTTTTTTTTTTGCTGAAATACATTATATTGTACGTTTCAGATAATTCTAGTAAAAGTATAATAAGACTAGATGTATAATAAAAAAAACCCTTTAAAATCATTGACTAAGTGTAAAAGTGGAATTAAAGCATTTACTGGAAAAAGTAATGTTATTCCAATGGTTAACTTGCTTGTCAGCTGCTGCACTGTGTTATAATTTTGCTCCATTACCTTTGCTCTTTGATACATAGTGTGCATTTCTCTGTCACCTGTAACTATTGTAATGAACAATTTTCATCTTACTGCACAATCAAAAAAATTACATTTAATAGGAATGAATTCTCAATGACTGGGCCTGTAGACAGGATAGTACTGGAACTGGCTTTCGGTTATATGAAACTGTACCTCTAGACTTTTACCCTATCTGTTAAATATATGCTATGTCATTAAATGCTTTTAAAACTAACCAGATATATGCAGTTTTCTTGTTCTTTTAAAAACAAATTGTACCATCAATAATACCATCTTCAGAATGAAGAAATAACTTTTTGATATCTGCTTGCATTAGTCCTTTTGAACTTTTGCAAGGATCCTGAGCTACTGTTGACTTATTGCATCTTGTGAATCACTTGTCCTCTTTCCTGAATGCCTGATATCTTTTTCTTGGCTTTCCAACGACTTGAGTTGCTAAAATCTCCAAAAGCTGCACAGACCCTGCTATCAGTGGAGTTCCTAGTTTCCCCTCCAACACAGAGTCTAATCTTGAGGTCAGCTACAGGGCTGAGAAGGGATCCCTGACTGCTAAACCTCACCAACTAAGACACAACAGCAGTAAAGAAGTGGTTGTTTTATTGATGAACAGTAAAAATTGAAATCTGTAAACAGCTGATTAATAGCACCACCAAGAGACTTACCTACATGACCTTGAAAGCTGCACAAAAGGTCCTCTAATCACAGCTGCATTACTCACCAACTTATCCCCTCCCCATGATGTGTGTAACTGCACATAAAGTCCGATTCAAGGCTGCAGTCACTTCGGTCACAGCTGCTTCCCCTGTGCTCTACATGTGACAGCTGAAAGGAGGATCTTCCTTGCTGCTGTAACTATTGGAGGGCTGTGCTATGCAAGCAGAGTAACAGAGACTGAAAGCATCTTTCCACTGCATGTTTTGGAGAAACACTCATAAGCGATGATCACCAGCAAACTAGTTTCTGGTTATAAATACTCGGGTATTATGAGTAAGTATTACTACCCAAGGTTCTTTCCCTGCAACCTTGATTTTGGATTTGCATTTCTAAGTGGGTGAGATACTGTACAGTGAAAGCTTATTTTAATTGACTAATTGGGGGAAAGGGTATGGTATTCACAGATGTCCTTAAAACATGAAGGTATTGTCATTGTTCAATTTGTTTCATTTGTGTGATGTCATCATACAAATGACACAAATTATTTGCATCATTCTACAAATGACGTAAAATGTTACAGAAAGGTAGTCTGTTGTGTGTGGAGTTCATTGCGTTGAGATCTGTTAGATTGAGATTTCACTGTAATGAATGGAAAACACTCCTCTCCCTGTACAAGTTGCAATGGAACTCCTCTATTGCCAGGAACACTGGGGGCCATATCAGGATGACAGGTGTTCACTAATAGAGTATACTTGCTTAAAGCCACCACTCCCTTTCTGCACTTTATAAACCTAGCCCTAGTGTGAAAGAGTACATTCTCACTGCTTATTATCATTATTGGAATTAATAACTTACTATTATTAAGAAAATCAGAACTTTTCATCAATACAGTTCAACCAAGATAATTAAACAAGGTAAAGGGAAGAGTGTTTTAAATCAACTTCAAGGGAGCATGATATACAAATATCGTCTCCGATATTCCAACAGTTATCTGATCCTGCTTAGCTCATATAACACACTGAGCTACAAATAAGGTATAAACAAATATGGTTGGTTTGAGTTTGGCTTTAAATGTAGTGTGAACTCAGCCACTGTAGTTTGCAGATCATGTGGTGGAGCTTGGTGTGTTGGGCAAACGAAGCCAATTGAGAATTATTCAATAAAGAAACAATGCCTTAGGATGAAGTGTAAACCTAGCCACCGCTTTCATTTCTAATAGTAGGGTAGAGGGAGATCAAATATTTGCAGTAGCGTGCTTGGAAGCTAGGATCCCACCCAACAACAGTAACTGTTTGCATGGAATGTTTAGCCCTCATTCTGTCTCCAGTTGCAACTGCCCTTGTTGGCCACTTGTGCCTGGAGTCTTGAGGCAAGGTGCCTGTACATGTCCTGAGGAGACACAATCTGCTTTTCCTTCGGAGGACAGAGACAATAGTTACATATCATGCTCCCTTTTTGTGCAAAATGTCCTGTTATTTTTCTCAACATCACATTAACCTTGGGGGTCTGGAGGAACAGGTGTTATAGTGTACTGCAGCCAGTGACAACTTCCTTTCTGAGGCAGACTGCAAGTAGGGAAGTGGGGACATAAAATTTGTCTGAACCAAAGCAGGGGAGGAAAGATTAAACATCCTTTATTCACTATGGTTCTGATCTAGCTCATCTTCCCTTTTGCAGTTATCTTTGGCTAACCCAAAAGTCATGTTAAATACCATATAGCTTCTCTGACATAGACAGGGAGAAGATACAGACTTTTCCTGTTTTACCTTATTATGTGGCTAACGTGATTTCTTCCCAGGGATTCATATATTATGATTAGCCGCAGTGATGGAATTTACTCTGCATTGCAGCAACATGGGCTGGGTGTGGAGAAATGTTGGCTCATTAGATTTATTAGAAATGCTTTAATTTCTGACTCAGAGCATAAAGTTATGGTGGTGCAGATGCCAAGAGTTGTGACGGAAGATACTCAGATTAATTTTTTGTCTCCTTGGCCCCAGACTTGACTGCAGCCATTTTCATCCCCTCTATCAGCAAAATTATACCAGTGCAGAACTTGAGTTTCTGCAAGATTTGCTAGCATGTGACAATTAATATTAAATCTTAAAGGCCCCTAACCAGTGCTCAAGGGGCCATAAAAATATTTTTCTAACTACCTTCTGATTCCTCCCAGAGAGTAAATACTTCACTCTCTCATAAGAGAATGAGTCAATTTCTAGAGATAAATTAGTATGGTTTCTAACTTTGTAAGATCACTGATCACTTTCATATGAAAAAGACTAATTGTTTCCACATTCTACCCCCAGTCATTGGCTAAGGAAAAAAACTGAATAAATAGCAACACCTTTTATATTCTGCATCCCCCACTGCTATTCTGGAGCATTACCAAAACAGAGGAAATTGTAAAGACAAAGCATTATTCCTTCAAAAGATCTGTTGCTGTTTATAGAAAATGCAGCCTTAGCAACCAAGAACAATCTCAAAAGGTCTTACCATAAGATCTGTACTGGGCAGGGTTCCCATACCAGGACTGCTAAACTCCTGATGACCACTAAATGTAGCAAAAGATACAGCAAACTCTGAACTGCCATCTAGTAATTATCTGAATGTTTGCAGCACAGATATGGTAGCTCTAATACTGGGGAAAGGGTGAGGGGTAAGGGTGAGCAATAACAGGTCTTTAATTCTCCCTTTACAAAAATCCAGCAGCTTCAAAGCCTAATTTAGAAGGTTAATGTGGAAATTCATCAGTTCTGTACATTTAATTTCTGAAACCCTTATATCCCATGGCTAAAGTCTTATGAAATCAGATCACACCAAATCAGTACAGTAATAAAACATTGGCCCATCTAACAAACACACATAAAATTGCATCCATCTGAATACAAAGGTACAGAATTACATTGAGGTTAATCCATTAACCCAACTAAATTTCTTTTGAACACACTGGCCATGATTTTGAAACTAATACTGGACTGACTCGGAAATACAGTGTAAGCCATTTGGGGAAACTCCTTATTGCATCCAAAACAAGAACAGTGCTAAACTTTAACACTGCTTCTTTAAAAAACTGGGCAGAGGAGGGGCATTATTATGTTTCATATTAGTTCCCATCAGCCCTGGGCAGCATGCCAATGGCCAAGAATTATGGCTGATAAAATTGGAAGCCCAGTTTTCTGATCTAAGAAAAAACTCAAGATTTTTATGTAGATGACATTTTATCAAGCCTGCTGCAATGATACAAGATGTTGTTCAGAGGAATCTATAGCATAACATTTACAGATTTTGGAGGTATTATTTTGTAAGAATTGATGAATGAACAGAAAATCAGTTACTGCTGCAATAGTCCCATTGGCCACAGTAAGACTCCCACTGGCCGCTACAGCTTCACCTCCAGGAAGACAAAATATGTATGTTCTGTAACAAGAGATAAAGAAAAAAACAAAACCCAGACAAGTTTGAAGAGTAGGAGATAAAGGAGAGGGAATTCTGAAGGAAGAAGAGGGATGAGTGGAACGTACAAACCGCTCAACACCTCAAATTAACTCTGAGATGATGGATGGAAAAAGATCAGGGATGCTGGTCCAATGCAGAATTATCAGAAAAGTGACATCTTGTCACAGTGCTTTTTAGCCTAACAATTTGTAAATAACCCCAAACTGCTTTTATAGTGCTTTATTAGACAACCAAGTCCTCCTCCTGTGTGTGAGTCATATCAGGGTTAATATGCCCCTACTATGATCAGTTTTAGAGGCCACAATTTTTAAGTTTGCTTGTGCAATCCTCTTTTTCTTTTAGAGCCATCCCTTTTCTGGAGCCCAGTCATCCCATTGCTTGGCCTCACCTGTGAATTTCACAGAATCCTTGACCCAAGCAATGAAAGACTGAGGCCGCATTATAGGGAAAAGCCTGGTTCTCCATGGTTGTGATTTACAATCTACAATATTGTGTTAACATTCTTATTTCTGAACTGTAAAGGAGTTTTATCAGAGCTAAAACATTGCATTCAAAATCAATACAACTATACACTATCTACAATATCCATAATGGAATTAAAATAATTAATTAATAAACCAAGCATTAAAAAAATAGCAACATTACCCACTAGGAAACATATCAAATAAGATCAATCAAATAATCAAAAGTTGCAAATTCAATCAGTTGAATATACTGGAATGCGGGTTTGAAAATCCTACATAGTTGACACTGGCTGAGTGTGTTAATGTGATTTGCGCTTTGATTCTGCCTTAGCATGTAGTATGAATGCAGCCATTATAATTTTGGAACCATGACCTATTAGGTAAAATATTGCATGTTCAATATACCATTATTAAAACCATGGTTCAGCACAACATGCAAACTAGTTCATATACTGGAAGGTTGTCTAGGTTTCACACAGGAGTTTTCCACTGTTTCTGACCATGCCAGGGACCGAGGCTGGGACCTTCTTTATGCTAAGCTTTCACTCCTCTTTAAAATTTAAATGGAAATTCAAAATTCATTTAAATACCACTTTGGAATGAAGTGGATTTTAAAAAATGTCAAACACCAAAAACACAAGTTGTAAGTATGACAGCAAATTATTTAACAGTTAATTAGTGAGAACTTTCTTGTGCAAACCTGAATGATTTAAGGCAATCCAACTGTGATGTACACAATTTTAGAATGAATGAGCATACCTGTTTATGTACTCAAAAGCAAGATCCATTCCAATTGCAATCTCCTCCCTTCTCAGTTATCTGTAGTTTATCAAATTGAGTATGCCCAAGCATGTCTCCATGAAAGCCAATGCTTTTATGATCATGATGGTTATGTTTAGGATCTGGACAACTTTTGGCCCCAAGAACCTAGTCACTTTTTAGTCCATCATTCTTGGACTAAAAAGTTCACATCTTTGTATACATGGTACAATATGTGGAAATAGCATCCTTCTTATTCAGATTTGAATATATTCACATCTAATACATAGCACAGACTTCAGTCATTGGGCATATATAGAAGGGTACTTTTGTGTATCTGTGCTAAAGTCTTACAGCTTAAACTCAAGCCACCCATAAAGCGGCAGGAATTAAGGCTGCAGTATTGTATTCACTAAACTACGAGTAAATGCCCGTTAAATTGAAAGGTGTAGGATTTTACCATAAATCTGCAATCCAAAGGTTACTTGTTGGCAGTTAAGTTCCACTGAACAACTGAGTTAAGTATGTGAGCAGTACTAAATAGCCCTACTGCAAAACAGTACAGTACCTTTAAATAAACCCCTTATTTACAGAAGGAACTGCAAAGCAGGTCCCTAAACAAGGTTATCTATAAAGATAAAAGTTGTAAAGGAAACACAAACGTTTCTAGCTGTGGCATACGAAGGCTGGAAGGCAGATGAAAAAAATCTTGCTTACAAATGAACATCGCAGAGGCTGTTCTTTGTTTTTGCTTTGCAAATCACTGCCTATAATGATCAAACTGGGAGAATGCAGAAGAAATGCAGATCGTTTTTGTAAGGACTCAATTAATAATCCAATAATAAATGAGAAATTTAAGTAAAGTTTGATGGGGGATTTCTCCCCAAAGCAATGCGATCTTGCTTGCAGCTTGTAACACTTGGTTATATTTTTATTAAAGGCTACGACAACCGGGTTGTAAACTTCAGGTCAAGCACTAGATGGCAACAAAGAGATACCGACAATCGCTTGTGCTGCAATGTAGAAGTCGTTCAGATTTTTTTCAGCTCAAATCCGCTCGGCCTATTTGCTTTTGGACCTCTCCCCTATTACCAAGCAATTCTCACGAGAAACGCCTGAAGCTACCTTCATCGCGCGTCTCCGGAGCAACAGCGGAGAGAAAGAAGGCGGGTAAAAGCCGGGTGGGTGCGCGTAACACCCTGGGACTTGAAGTTCCTCTGAGGCTCCTTAAAGCCGCCGAGGAGTCTTTAAACTACAATTCCCATGAGCCTCTACCCTCGCCGATTTTGAAGGGGCGGGACCTTCAAGTCGCGGGGTTTCCAAGGGAATTTACCAGATGCTGGTGAAGCGATGACGCAGCTTTGCTTTCTTGCCCATCCCGTCGAATGATGAGGCGGTTTCATGCTAAGGCTGCCTAGGAGACGTGCTGCGAGCAGGGCGGGGAAGAGCAGCAATGGGCTGGGGAGAAGTTGAGGAGGAGGTGGGAGTACGGCTCACTCGCCTTCTGGTGCAGTCGCTTGCCTGCCTGCCTGCTGCCTGCCGGCCTCCCTCCTCCTTTTCAGGATTCCTGGTTTACAGCCGTTGCTCCTGCTCTTGACAGGTGACTGTCAAATCACGGTCTGTGGGGTGGTTGCACGGGAGAGCCCGCCTCGGGTTGATAATGTTAATAGTAGCAGTATATAATTAATATGCCATATTATCAGCATAAATGCTGCTTTACGCAGCAATTGTACGAAATTGCTTGAAGTCCTTTTCCTTACTCTGTGGAAAGGCTCTATAATTTTAAAAGCAATTCTAGTTTGCTTAGAAGTAAACTGTTGTACATGGAGAGAGGTGGCCGTACACAGGGAGCTAATTTGGTGAGTCAGGAGGGGACAGCAAATCATCAGGAATGTGAATTTATTATCACTGTATTTTATTGCTAGGGAAGTGGAGAGATACTAGCACCTTGACAGCCAAGGGTGATGTGGACAGTGATGGGGGGAAGGGTGTTAATTTGCTTTGCTTTTTGCATGTGGCTGCAAAAGGTTTAGTCCCAAGTCCCTCTCAGTTGAGCGAGTCTTACTCTCAAGCAAGTACATAATGGGGAGGGAGCAGGAGCATGTACTGTAAAACCTGGTATGGTATTGAGGAATTTGATGGACGTTTTCTCCCCTTTTCATAATATCAGATTTACTGTATACAACAAGACAAGGGGAAATCCCCCCTTCAGTTTATGAAACTGAAAAAATGATTATGGCCAGTAGCTCAGACAGCTTTCAGAGAAGATTACTCTTCTCCATGATGAAGTTTCTTTAATCAGACCACATACTAGAGAGCAGCAGCTGGATAGAGCTATTGCCTTCCAGCTCGGCTTCTGGGCTTCCTGAAGAGCACAAAAGCAATAGCCTTCCTCCTATGCAAGGCTGGAGGTGGGGTGGGGTGGGGTGGGGGGAATGCAGCCTGTGGGGTTCTGTTAAAGACTTCACACAAAGCAAAATGGGTTTTGAGCAGGAATTTGACTTTGATAAGCATGCTTATCAGATCTTCATCCTGGGGTATTCCAAATTCACAGATGTCTAGGTTATGCCTTTTATTCAATTTTAATGGGCAGGCAGGTGATTCAGGAATTGATAAAGACTGAGAAAAAAA